ATTGTTTTAATCAGATTTTTCATTAAATTTTAACCTAAGTAGACGTAGTATTGCTTTTGGAGGTTTGTCATGCCATGGCTGACAGATAGATATCATTGTTTGATGAGATCTGGGACCTAGACGTGAGCTGCATCATGGTTGTTATGAGAGGCATTTTTCCAGGATTATCGTGAGCAATACAGTAATTTGAAAGTGCTCTTTGGTATGTCAGTGACCATTCAAATTGTCGAGTGGTGATTGTTAACGTGCACAGTGCTAAACAATCACCCACTGATTCTGCGTGCTCTACATTTTATGTGAAAGTAAAAAAAATCTTTCGAGATGAGGCATACATGTTTTCGTGATAGTCACGCTCTCTTGGATTGCGTACGGCTCATCTTATTTTATTTCAAGTAACGAGTAAGAGGAAAGCGAAAAAAAAATCAGTGCAGGTGGGTACGAATCAATATCGCAAACCTTATAGATCAGATTGCAGCGAGCACTGGATCTTGAGCCCTAAAGAGTAGCAGCCGTCTTGACGCCCATGTACTATGTGCGCCTGTAGATGGAACAAAGTCTCAAGAAGAGGGTACTACCATTCATTTACTTCTAATAGCATAGGTTATACTTTCGAAATGAAATTTGTCAAGTCCGAATTGATAATACAGAGTAATGATACCCGAGCAACTTTTCGGCTGTTCTGATGACTGACAAATCAATGATACTTACGCGCATATGGCGTGCGGCAATCGCTAAGTGTACACTTTCGACTCAGTTACCACCTGATATGGATCGCAAGAGAAAAGACTCACTGGCTAGCTCATGTTTGGATCGGAGACGTCATTGGCCCGACTGGGGGCAGGAACCCCCTTTTGAGACAGCATTTGGACACGGAAAGAGGCAATCGCAGTAGAGAACGTCGAAGGTAATCTCATAGAGGGTCGCCAACGACAAATTTCAATACTTGCCGGTTTATGGTTCGGGATTTATAGCTGATGATGCGGAGATGGCACAACCTTGCCCAATATTCTCGAAGCACTAGTGCCACCCCAATTGTATCGGAAACAGAACAGGTACGCTCGGTGCCCCCAGAAGGCATGAGAGTACCGGGTGTGCGGTAGAGGAAGCTAGGAGTAAGGCCATTCGACGGAAAGTAAACCTGTAAGGAACCAAAACTCTTATGTTCTATGACTCAAGAATATGTTCTAGAATGTAAGTGAGTGTAGGCCTCATGTTGACGTATGCAGAATGTACACACGTTCAAGGAGAAATGATACAAATGTTAATAGTAGGTAAAGGAAAGACTACATTATCGGAGAAGCGACAAGCATACAAGGAACAGTAGGAAAAAAATAGAATAGTTTACATATATCGTTAGAAATCAGTGTAACGGGGTTACACATACCCCTGGTAACAGGGGTGTGTGTCACACCTGATGAACATGGTGTGACCACACCCAAACAAGAATACGGTATGGGGCTGGATAGCCAGTAGTTAAACATGTATTTAGATTTTACTATATATATTTAGGAAAATCTAAGCATTCAGGCGACTTTGCGGCAGATAAAAAAGTGAAGTCAGTATTGAATTTGGAACGAAGAGTTAATTAGCCTTGGGTCAAGGCTATAATTTCTCTTGGAGTAAGCGGATTACGATCCGCTAAACTCATACTTGTTCTGAGTATAGAACAAGCGGTCGGTGACCTAACTTACATTCCTCAAAGCTCAAAGCGACGGCAGCCCCGCTGCAATCAGTCCATCAAATGATATCATTCTTCATTCGCTAACTACCGTCTAACACATCATGAGTGCGAATGATTCTTAAAAAATCTCTACTATGGGCCTGGACGCGTTATTTGTTACGAAGGCAGCGCTTCATAAAACCGATACATTTTGAGAGGGTGCTGTCAGCTTCCAGTTGCTAATGATTATCCAGGTCGGTATAGTGGGGTCGAGATGAAGAAAAGTGTCTACAATAAGAAGTCGGAGAATTGTGAGGATAGCAGGCCACGCTGGGATTGGCTCTTTGCTATCAGGATAACGCCGGCGCGATGCATTAAAGTGTTCAGTAAGAACGAAAAGCTATGAATCTGACAAGACACCAGCAAAATCTAGTAGAGCATTTGGAGGTGCGGCAGATCTCGTGCGAAATAAGCATTCAATACTGTGATGAGAGTGTTATCATCGTCTAGGCAAAACATGGTGCTGATGTAACTACCGTACTTCACAAAATAAAAGCCACTCAAAAAGATCACTTTTTTCTGATTTTCGTTCACCTCTTAACATTAAGGTGATTTTTGTC